CGCCAGGTGCCGTGTCTCCTCAGCACCCCGTGCAGACCCTGTGTCTCTCATGGACAAGGGTTTACAAGTCTGCTACCCGTGGGAGGAGCAGGGTGATGGGGGCCTGGCCTCTGCTCCCGGCGGGCCTCGGCGAGAGGCCACCTCTCCCTGTGGACTGTGTGCATTGTGCGTTTTTCTCACACTTAGTTCACGCAACTGATGTGGCCACGCAGGTGCCCCTGCCCTGAGAGAGCTGCTCCCCTCCGTGGGGGCTGGTCCTGAGCATTAGCTCTGGGTGGGCAGAGGCTTCGGGATGTTTGCAGAGCCCCATTCTGAGGTCCGGGGGAGACCGCTGCCTCAGGGCCCGGCAAGGGCTGGAGGCAAGAGTCCTTGGAAGGCTGCAGATTTCCTGAGAGCTGGTGCTCTTCCTCTTACTCAGCCGTGTCTTGTCCAAAACCTATCGGTGTTTCTGAGCTTAGGAAAGCACAAAGCCCCCTCCGCATGCAGCTGTATTTGCGCACCCGTGGCTCCTGGGTGCCAGCGGTGCGACAGACTTAGCACTCACGACCCCCCAGCCTCCTGGTCCTCGTGCCCGGAACTTCTGGCCCCCAGGGGTCCTGCTGAGCCCTCTCGCTGGGATGCCGTCCTTGACGAGCTGGCCCACTTTTAGGGCCTTGATTCGTGGCTGGTGGGGGAGCTAGAGGAGTGGGTGAGTCGGTCGTGTGAACTACAGTGAACTTAAACACAGCAGGAAAGACCACAGTTGTAGATAATGCCACGCGCTGTGCCGACCCCGAAACGTTGCTGCTTCTCCCCTGAGGGGCTCCTAACGTGCTGTGTTGGTTCTCCACACGCAGTGGGCGAGTGCGAGGCGTCGGCCATGCTGCCACTGGAGTGCCAGTACCTGAACAAAAACGCCCTGACCACCCTGGCCGGACCCCTCACGCCCCCCGTGAAGCACTTCCAGCTGAAAAGGAAGCCCAAGAGCGCCACGCTGCGAGCAGAGCTCCTGCAGAAGTGTAAGCGCCCGCACCCACGTCACACGCCCGCCTCAGTGCACGCGCCCGCACCCACGTCACACGCCCGCCTCGGTGCACGCGCCCGCACCCACGTCACACGCCCGCCTCGGTGCACGCGCCCGCACCC